ATTACTCAGAGTTTTTTTTTCTTCTTAAGTAGTCAGATTTTTTTAATGTAAAATATCGACCACAATTTCTAATATTGTTATTGGTGATAAATTCTGATTTAGTTATGATAACTTCAGATAAGCTAGCACAGCATGCAGCAAAAAGCAATTATCAAGCTTTCTGTGATAACATCATGTTATCAACGCTATTGTAATATTCATCGTTTTCAAATTTCAAAAATTGTTTCTTAGAAATTGAACAAGACATTATCACCATTTTAAATGCAATGTCATCCAAAATATCCTTCCAAATTAATACATAAAGAAAAAAATAGCAGAATAGTATAGGCGGAAATAAATTTTAAGCTAATGAGATTGCAATTTTGAAATGAAATGGTAGACGGAATAAGTTTCAAATGACAAAGTTGGCAAAGTTTATCTTTTCGACGTATTACTTATCTTGCAATGCCTTTCCTCTCTCAATAACAATGCAATAAATGAACTGACAGATTGAACAATGATATATTTTATTTTATTCATATATCTTCCAAACAAAAATATAGCTATATGTAATTGCTTTTTCGATGAAAAAAAGAAAACAAAAACAAAAAAAAAAATGAATTAAAAGAACGAATTCTTTTTATTGAATGACAATTTTTATTCCTTCACTTCGCTTTTCATCGTTTTCATTTTCATATCAGCTGTTTTTTTTCTTTTTTTTTCGTTTTGGGGAAATAATAAAATGAAAAGAATGGTGCTGTAATAAACTTTTTCCATTTGTATGATAAATTAAACTGAAAATTTATTTAAAAATTATTTAAAAGATATAAATTAGTATATAATTTAAATAATATATAAATTAATTGAGAAAATGAAATTGCTAATTATGATTTATGCTATGTAAGAGCGATCCATTCTCTCTAAATGATACTAAAGTAATGAATGAGAAGAGACAAACTTCTGGCTACCATTCATTTAGAAAGTCTTCAATTCAGTATGAAATGGGTAAAACCAACGATATTATCATAAACAATGAAACAAATTAAACTTTAATACCATTCAATCATATTAAATGCTTTATTGATTAGTAAGAGATTTGTCAAATAGCACAAATAAAAGGCGAAAAGTCTTAAGTATCTGCCGTAGATATGAATGTGTCATAATCAAAGATATTACCAACTGAATGTATAATTTGAAATGATTTTCATTGACTGAATTCATTTGGTTTCAATTAACCAATTCTATTAGTAAAAAATTAGAGAATCTCGCTGATAAAACTTTGTCTCTTTGATAAAATCTCCGTCTTCGAGGTTTTGAATCTTTTTTCAACCCATTTTCTCTCTAATTAAGAAGTTCGACGTATTTTGATTACTTTGTTTTAACAAATTTTTTTCTTCTCTCTTGCACTTCATGAACGTATCTGCGCAGAGAGTTGAAATACTACTGAAATTAAACTTTCCGCTCTTGTCCTTCATTAGCTGTTCCGGATTACCTATTCCAGTTTGCATAAATGCTGGACTGAATTTTAAAGAGGAAAAAAAATTCGGATAGTTTAGTCTTCAGAGCTAATTGAATTGAATCGAATCGTTTCACTGCTAGCGCAGCAATTCCTTTTCTCTGAGGAAAGTCGGAAATTTCAATTGTACAAACAATAGAGTAGAAGCTTCTTTGTCCAATATCTGTTCAATTCAGTTACATATACACCCACACGGAGAGAGAGAGAGAGAGAGGGACACAGAGAGGGAGAGAGAGAGATTGGATAAATAAGAGAAAGGTTATTAGTGTCCTACTGCAATAGCTTAAGCCATCAGACCCAATTGTAATCCCAAAGAACAAACATACAAATTTTTCCCACTTCGTTAGAAAATGGAAACTGACTGAGTGCTGTCGAATAATTTGCCAAGCTATCAAAATAGGTCAAAACTGAACAATCTTTAATTGGTAACAATAAAATGATTACTTTTAATCAGCAAGAAATAATGATTGGATTAGATGAATCATTGCAAAAGTTCCCTAATCTTCTCTGCTAAGACTATCATTTAATTCTAATGTAACAAGCCTTATCATTTGACATTGATAAAACTAATCTCATCAAATATATCAATGTATATGATATGAAAAAATCAGTGATAGATAGTTCGGCAATTAAAAGAGTTATTGCAATTCCAAAAATGTTTATTTCAAATTGCAAGAATTATCTCTTTAGAATAGAAATATGAAATGTATTGAAGTAATTGGGAAACTGCGCCATATACATATGTGTATAAAGCATTGATTATGTACTTCAAAGAATCTTAGATTTAATGTTTGATGAGAGATTTCATGAACTTATAAGTCATTCATGCCATTTTAAGAATTTTTATAAAATATATTCAGTTACTAACTAACTAATTAACGAATAAAATAACTGCTAAAATTTGTGCAGGAATTTATAAGTAATTTCTTACAAGTTTTTTCAAGTTTTGTTCATAAATTACTTTAATAGATTGAAATATGACTTAAGAAGTTGTTAATCACTTTAGCCATTTAACTTTAACGCAAAATCTCATCATGTGTCACACGCTCAGTCTTCTTAAGAATTATAGAATTTGCAAAGTTTTGAATAGAGATACTAATTTAAGAAATTTATATGGAAAAGTAAAATTTCAATTATTTAAAGATATCGTATCACGTTGCATTTTTTCAGGCATATCAGTTTAATTATGTTATAGATATCAGCTATATAAGCAATAATTATCGTACTTACTGCTCTAATTAAAGCTAAAAATCACAAACACATAATAAATAACATCCTAAGATTGGATAATAAATTTGTGATTTTTGAAATTTTTATCAATCTAGTTAATTTAAAATACAAGGTGAACTGCAATAAAAAAACGAGAAAGAAAGAGGGAGAGGAAGAGATAGAAAGAGAGAGGGAATATCTTTGCTAAGCAAATTTCCTACTTTCATTCATCTCTTCATCAATATACGGTTCAAAGTGCATCAGTTAAGGATAAGTGATTTGCACTCCGTAATCATTTTCATTTCAACGCCATCACTACTTCATCTTTCCGTTCCTTTTTTCGCATTCGTTTCCATTTTATGAGCAAACATTTACTTCCTTTCCCACCCACTAATCATATATTACCGCTCATTTCATTTTGTATTATTTATTTCATTCAAACTAAATTTGATAGTTATTCCTCTGATTTCATCTTAGCTTGAAATTTCATTTTATTTCAAAATTGCTCGTTTTAATTTCACTTCACGAAATATGAGATTGTTGAGAGTGAAGAAGTATAGTTGAATTATGGATAGAAATTAAATAAATATATTAATTGTTGTTTTTCAATCGCATTCATTTACTTTTGTGTTGTTTTCTCTTTTATGATTTTTGAATCATTTAACACAATTCATATGGTATAATTTAAAATTTTGATTTATCATATTTAGAACTATTCAGATGCTTGCAGTATTTCTGAAATTTGAAGAAATTCTTTTGAAGAACGGTTTAATTTTATAAATTGATATTTTAAATTTATCATAATGCTATTCATTTATGGAATTGATTCTTGCATAATCAGTTTTTAAAGACTGAAATTTTCTTGTTCTTGTCAGAAATATTTCATCTTGTTCTGTTATAATACTTTTGTAGTTTGATGAAGCTAAGAAAAGAAGCTAATAGATAATAGTGCAATTAATATTAGATTATGTAATAGTATCATTAAAATCTTTCAATATCAAAAATAACTTTATCAAGTAATAGCTATACGAATTTGAATTTGAGCTTCACATCAACAACAGTTTGTTTAATGCATTGATGGATAATTTTTCTTTACAAAATGTTGTTTTTAATGAAAATAGCTTCTGTTTACAACGAATTCCTATTGTTTCTCTTCAATTCATTTGCAATTTTTTTTTTCGTTTTTATTTTCAAAATTGTTTACACTTTTTTTCCATCTTTGCTACATCAAATGTAAACATTTAATTTAATTTGTCGTATTTATTATCTTTTGTCAACAAATAAAAACGCATATTGTTAGATGTTCAATACGAGTTAATCGAATTCTATTAGCAAAACTAAAAAAAAGATGAACATTTTCAGTTGATTCAATTTCATCCATTTGAGGACGACTACTTAAGTTTATTTTAGCTAACTACCAGCATTGAATTAAATTCTAAATAAGATTTGCAATATATCCTTCCTCCATCCCTCTTTTTTTTTTTTGAGAATTAAGAGGAAGCATGAATTTCAATATACTCGTAGTCTACCTGAATTATTAGTACTTATGTTGAGTTTCAAATGAGATAACTCTTTCTAGTGATGTTATCTTATCTTTGATACTGAAACGATTCACACATTTACATCGAGAAGGGAAAGTTTTTAAAGATCCATCTAATAAATTTCATTTTTTTTAATCAATGCATCTATTTGCGTTGCAATCTTTTGCTTTTTCATAAGCTTACCATTAAGAATGACAGTTGTCATTTGCAGAATTATTCTTCAAAATCTGATATTAATCTTGCTAAACGTCTCTAAATTTAAAAAATTCGTGAAAAAGAATCAAAAACAGCTGTATCGTATATTTTCCTCTCTTTTTTTGCAGTCACTCAGTAATTTTTAAGAATATCTCCGCCAGATAGAAAACTTGAATGTTGCAAAACAAGAAGCTATTGAGTTTTTGTTTTCATTTCTAGGACGGTGAAGTTTGCGAAAAAGAAATATATGTCATTGAAGATGTTAGCATCATTATTCCTACATTTCTATTTTATTTAAATGGATTAGATAGGATGTATTGTGGATGGGATTTGAATTAAGAAGATTTGAGATTTGAATTAAAATTCATTGGAGATGTTAACATTTTAAAGGCAGGCAATTAGTAGTAAATAGCAATTTAGTTCACAAATATTGATATGGATGGCTACCTTGTTTACTTATGCACTATACAGTATTTAAAACTTTCAAAAGTATTCTTCAATTCAGACAGAATATATTTCATCGATGTGAACTGTCATTAGAAGAAAATTATCAATGAGCGATGAATGGTGGCGCATGCGAGATTGGTTCGGTACCATTTCAAAATGCCACCTGGTTATTTGCTACATTGTCAAATTTCCATGTCACATATGGCGTCATACATCCTTATATTGCTGTTATACTTTGTTTCGCCGGTCAGTTATCATCAACTGGATTAAAATTTTTTAAAAAATAGGTGAAAGGCATAGAAATCTATTAAACTTTGGGTCAAGTATTTGTTTTCTTTGAGATTTCAGTTGAAAAAATGCTTGACTGAAAACAAACGAGAAAAATTATAGTACAAAATTACATTCAACCAAGAAATAGATCAAAATTACATCATTTCTTGATTCGAAAATAAATGGAATAATTTCTGACTATTAGTTCAACTGTCTATTGAATAGAATTACCATTAATTAATTAATTTTAAGTAAATTATTAGCTAAGCTGGATTGCAAAAGTAGTCAATAGATGAGCACAGATTAAATCTTATTATATCTATACCATTTATTGTAAATGAAAAGGAATAAGTAATTCATTTGAACAACCATTTGGACAAGTTTGTATTTTTTCATTAATTAAATTAAAATTGTATTCTGATAAGAGATGATCGTCTTGCTAAAACAACGGTTAATAATTTTTTTGCAAAAATTATTACTTTTCTATATTTGCATTAGAAAATTATTTTAATCTCCCATTCATTTTTTTTTAAATCCTTTCTATAAACAACTTATTAACAATCTTCAACAATGTTTATCACATCATTAATTTGCGTAATCTTACTAGTTAAAGCTAATTAATCGTAAAAGATGCAATTGCTAAGAATAAAAGAAATAATTTATATCTTAGGCACAATACTGAATGTAATGACAATCGCGGTATTAACCCGTCCATCAATGATTTCACCAGTAAATGTTCTGCTTTGTTCGGTAGCAATTTGTGATGTGCTCGTCATGGCGTCGTACCTAATCTTCGTCATCCATTTCTTGATTAATGCAGCTAATCGTTGTTTACATACCGATTATAGTTATCCGTGGACTATCTTTACCTTAATTCATGCCCACGCATCCGTCATTTTACATTCTACAAGTATATGGCTTACTGTTAGTATTACATTTATTTTCTCGAACTACTCATCAGTATTGTCACATAAAATTAGTTATTTAAAAAATTTAGCAATTTATATGTCACATAGGTCTTTTCCAATCTATACGAACAGAAGATAAAGAGTATAAAAATTAATTTATAATATTATTTCTCCTTTATACAGTAATTATTTTTAAAAAATGAAATATTAAAATATATTTTCCTTTTTATAGCGATTAATTTTTTTAAAATGTAATATTAAATTTTTGATAAATTAATTGTAAATGTGAAAATGATATTAATAAGGAATTGGAAGGAACAAAAATATAAACATATTCGTTCATAATTGATTATTAGAGGAAAAATTATAATTAGAAATATAATTAAAATATAAAATGGAAGCCAACTTACTTTATAGCAACAAGCTTAGCAGAAATAATTTCTTCGTCTGATCTTTCTACCATAGACACTTTTTGACTTTTTGCACCAGTTAAGTTTCTTTTATAAGTAGCTAAAATTTCTTAATCTTGAAGGTATTGCTAGCTCAGATACGTGTCTTAACAATTCGTCGTTCCACGTTGCATCCGTCAACTACCGTTACAATACGTTTCACTGTTTTGCTCAGTTTAGCTACATGTTCCATCATGTCGCTATTCAATCTTCCCAATTTTTTAACTTTCAAGGTATGTTTACTTCAAACATTTTGTAGATTAGAAGTTTGGAAAGTATTTTTTAACAAGGTTTCAAATAACTCTTTATTATCAGGCTAATTAAGGTTACGTAAAAAATTTTTAATGTTTCCATGGAAATATGTATCTAACTAATCAATTACATCATTTTTTTCTTTATGATGAATTAGAATGCTATGGAATTTAATAAGTGAATGATTAAAGATTGTAAGGACATCGCCAGAGTTATTTCTTCCATGCTTAGTCAAATTTTCCGAGAATTCATCGTTACACGACAAAGTTGACGATGATTACACCGAGCAAAATTCGGATTATTCACAATATAATGATGAATATCCGGTTTACATGCTTGTCGCATCACAAGGCAATTGTCTGAAGCTCAAGGTATTTCGATATTATACTATTCATTAAATGAACTTTAAAACTTTATTGCTATAAACATTGGTAATAGCTGAAGAATAAGGACAGAGTGAGACATTTTTGTTACAAATTATGATGAAAATTGAAATGAATTGGAGAGCTTCAATTATGTAGCAAGTTCTTCACTTTTATCATCAGACTGAAATTAAAGTAATTGTTTCGTTACTTTAGTCATCGATCCTTAAGTAATTGAAAAAAAAAAAAACTTTTAATTGCAGTGAAATTTTAAAACTAAAAATCTACGAGTTAAATGATTTTTTTTTCTTGAAACACTTCTTAATTGAGAAAAAACAGTTGGATAATGCTATAATTACTTGTGGAATTAGTTCGTGGACACTAATTAGAAATTGTGGAATGCAAAGCTATTAATGTCTAATTTTGAAATATTATGGTTGAAAGCATTAAGAGGGAAATTTTATCATTTCATAAATTTTGATATTTCTCATGAACATAAAAGGATTTAAATTTAATTTATTCTTAATAACTACTTTCGGTTAATAAATTAAGAAGTATTCATTTTTTATCAAAGCAATATATGTTGGTGTGTTGCAGTTAGCATTTTGGTCAAATGGAATACTCTTTAAAGTGGTGCCATGCTTGTTGTTAACTATATCAATTATTGTACTGCTCAAAGTGATTGCCGATTTGTCACGTCAAAGGCGACATCTTGCGCAGGTTGAACTTGAACGTTTGTATTAAGATGTAATTATAATCAATTAAGCATTGAAAAATTAATGGTTTAACTAGTACTAATTTTTATTTCTTCTTGTAAATCAAATTGTTTTTTCTGATTTGCAAAAAAAGAAAAAATTTTTATCACATAATAATTGCAATGATGTTCAATTAATTAATAAATAAGATTTAATATGATTCTTTGCAAAAACCGACGATATTTGTTTCTCAAAATGCATATGCAACGTATTTTGAAACCAAATGCAAAATTTAACTCTTTGAATCGAAGGATAGTAATGATGCAAATGGAACAACACCGCCATTTTGTGCTAAATTCAATTAGCTTGCAAATTTTATACATTCATTTCTTCTTTCTTTTTTTCATGAATAATTTTTTTTTTTTTTAAATTATCTGGAAAAAGAAGGGAAGGAGGAAAGAGAGAGAGAAAAAAAACAACTCTTCTCCAAAAGGCCTTTTTTTTTTCTTTGTTCTTACTTATAGTACATTAGAAAGTATAAAGGTCGAAACTTTTGTTTGCTAAATGTTATCTCAACTTTTACTTTAATCAATAATTAGTATATATTTGAGAAATTAAATTTAAAAATATAAAAGGATAAAACCACTTTGAGAGATAAAAGTGATTAATGAAAAGAGCTTCGGGAATTAGCAAAGATGAAAAATTTGTTGAAATAGTTCAAAAGAAATATATCTCATTATCACTACTCTACTGAGATAATTATTAAATCAAATATGCGTTAATTTAATAAACACCATTATTTCTGCTACTCTAATTAAACTCGAAATTTACTCAGTCAAGAAATGTCATTCTTATTCGAAGAATCTTTTCGTAGTGGATATTTTACCCCGCACTCGGTCATAGGATTATACTCTATCATTTCTACCTGACCAAACTTCAAGATATATTCAATTAGTCATAGTGATTGAAGCGGGGCAGAATATCCACTACAATAGAAAAAAGGTGACATTGTATCAATTATTCAAGAAGTTCCCATAGGGTTTAGTTGCAGTGAATCCATTTCTTTTTAAATTAATCAACATTTATTAACAAAATACTATTTAATAGTTGATGAAGAGAAAGGTGCCGAAAGATCATACAACACCAATGCTTGTCGCAGTTTTATCAATATTTCTTATCACGGAGTTACCACAAGGTGTTATGAATGTATTGACAGGCATTTTTACTGGTGATACTTTTCATCAAAAAGTAAGTAATTTACTTCTAAACAACTTTTTATTTCTTTATTTTGAAATTGGTATTGAAACTAACATTTTATGTTATCTTAATTATCAATTAAAAACGAAATGTTGAAAAAGCCATATACAATCAATCAAAAATAAAATGCTCAAAAAAGTTATGTTATGTCTAGTATTACTTTTTGGGAGTAATCAATTCTTTTTTCAGTACTTTTCTTGTATAAGTATTTATTTGTGAATTACAACAAGAAGAATAGTAGAATTTATATTTGTTTGAATTACAGGTTTACTTACCCCTGGGTGATTTTATGGATCTTTTATCATTAATCAATTCAGCTGTTAATTTTTTAATTTATTGTATTATGAATAAACGCTTCCGTGTTACATTCCTCCAGTTGTTTTGTGGTTTTTTTACAAACCGAAAGCTTTCAAGGTATAAATTAGCGATCTAAAATAATATTACATACATAATACCTTAAATTCAGGTAATTTAAAAAGTTCTGACACAAATTACATCAATTTTATTACGTTATGATGGTAGAATTTTCACTGATGAATGGATTTTAAACATCTTAATTTCATTTTTCCTAAAGTTGAATTTATTTTAGCCTAAGGCAGAAAAATCTGTTCTAACTCGTGATAAGCATGAAATTAAACTAAAATTATGAACTAAAATTTATAAAGCAAAAAGAAAAGAAAATTTCAGAGTAGTAGAAGATTACAGTCGTATGGATTATGCTTATGAATCACCAGGACAACGTAATCGAAGTACTGATGTAAGTCGAACCGAACAGGTATAATTTATTTTCGAAAGTTGAAAAATTATTTGAAGAACAGAAGTGATCCATAAAATTGCACAAAAATGCAAAAGATTTAATTCTGATGAAATTAAGTAGAAATTGACACTGCTTTTCGTACAGATTGAATGAGATAGCTTGTATTAACAGAAAGATATTTGACAATTTTATATAGGCTGAGCAACAAGAAATGAAAAAATTGAAATTAAAATATGAAATTAGCAAATAAGTTAAGTAATAAGCAAATAAAAACGATTAGCAAATTAGTAACTTTTTCAGCTTATACCTACATCATCACAACATCAGCCAAGTGCTACATCAGTTTTTACCAGCTTATCAGTGACACGGGAAGAGCCTTTGCAGAATTATAGAAAATTCACAGGCAATTTATTAACTGTTGAGGGTAATCACTGCCGAAGGATGACTATTGTAACTGGTCAGGCAAGTAATCATCATTACTTATCACGACTTAATTTAAAATATATCTTGTCCCATTTATTTACTCATCATATTCAATTTGTCGCATTCCTTTTTATTTACTAATTGTATTATTCTCTTCATTCAATATTTCCTTTATAATCTTTGCCTTCATTTAAAATGCTTTTATAATTTCGATTCTTTTCCAATACATTTGATTTTTATAACAAAGATATTTTGTTTTCATTTCATCTATTATAGGAAGAGAGTAAAGAGTGAGAAACGTTGCCAATGATGTAAAAGCTGTTAAAGTCACTTTGATTTGATGGAAAGAAGATCAGTGGACTAGTCAATCGACGATCAGTCAATGAAAGGATGAATTGATCTTCATCATTCTATCATTGCAGTCATCAATGACAATCTAAGATGCTATATTATTATGTATACCTCAACAATTTCACACGTGAAGCCGAATTTCTCTGATCTTTGTGTTTATAGTGAAAATTTTTACAACAGTGTTTTGTTCTATTAAATGCTTAGTATGATTTATTCCTTGATTTCAACTCTTTAAGTCTACTTTTAACCAAAATTAATAAAAACGATCCCTGGACATTACATTCATTCCACCAAAAATATTTAGTTGTAATATCTCGGTTTTTCATATATATGATAATTTTATATATGCAATATGGGAATGGTATGATAATTAATTGCAGTGTTATTTGAAAATTTAGCCTACCTATACAATTTCTTGGAATATAACATTATCTTCCTCCTAAAACAATAATGTTCCAGTGTTCCCAAGAGCTACCAGCAAATTTTCGCAATGCTTCCTCATTCCCGTAATAAAGAGATCAAAAATTATATTATTCCCACTTCGATGGGAATAATATAAATGATGAATGCTTAATGTCTTAAATTTTAAGATGACCAAATAATTCTGGCTAAAAAGGCAAGAAAAAAATCCAGATGATTTATATGTGTATACCCACCGAAAGTTACTGAATCGGAATAGGAAATATATTTTCTGATTTCTCAAACATTAAACTAATCTTCCTCATCGCGAAATCTCCTTATCTTCGTTAAAGTTCACTTTCTAAGAACCCGAAATATTCTACAAACTTGGCACTTTATCTTTTCATTGGAATAACCATCACACTCTAACATCTTATCACAAGCTTCTGCAACTTTACTCAACTGGAGCATTGGCACTGGGTTCAGTGTAGTACAATTTGACAGCAAGTTCGATGACGCGCCTGTGAATTGAAATTGACAAAGACAAGCATATAGCTGATATGACCTGATGTGATAAATAATATTCTGAGGCGCAAGAGTTTTTAATTTCGAGGGTACTCTTGCATTCAAATTGCACTAGTGATGGGAATGGCATGGTATTTTCTCGTGAAGTAGTTTGATAAATCATAACTGTCTGATAGTATCGTCCTAATAGATAACTGTTTCGGTAAGAACCTAACCGTTTAAGTACGAATGGACATATCACTCCAAAAAGCTTAAATGGCGTCGTTTTATTGCCTCTTTTTAAATGAACTCTGAAAGAACACAGTTAAAAAAAGGAAAGACTCGTCATACTAATAATAGCAATTGTAATTATTTATCAAGATTGTAGCAATTTTAGAGGTTTAATTAAAGCCAGCATTTAGATAAGGAGACTCGTAGGAATTAGAATCCAATATAACAATTGACAAAATAATCATTAAAGTTCTGCTGATATGGTAATTAAGTTTTCTGAAATTAGCATTATTTCCTCATTACCCACGTCAAATTATTTAAAATAGAGAAGATATGCAATAATAACAAATATATTTTCCAGATAATTTGAAAGGATGAAATAAAATTAGTTTTTCGTGAACAATTCGTTTGGATTCATGATCCCCTTCGGATCCAATGCTTTTTTGATAGCAATCATCGTGTTCACTGCTACCTCACCATATTCATTTTCCAAGTACTTTCTTTTACTAATTCCAATTCCATGTTCATCTGTACATGAACCACCTGATGCTAATGTACGCCTAAAATAGATCATTTAACTATAAGTTTATTTCCCAGTGATACTGATTCAAAATAATGCCGTAATATCCGTATTCGCCTAAGTTAATTTTCAGTTTCTTCTATTACTAAGAAAAAACAGATATGGAACAAAACTGAATTCATCAAACGCATCAAAGCTTCAAACGTCACACATACCTCAATAAATGTCGTAAAAAATTTATTACGAGTTAAAGTAATAATCTTCGTAAGTCTTTTCAAAGTAAATTATATATACAAAATATACAAAGTATAATAAATTGTTTAAAATAATACTTGACAATACGATCTGATAGTTCCCGAATCATTTTCATCTCGTCCTGATTTGAATCATCGACTAGAAAGATGCAATGGAAGCTGCCATCACCAACGTGACCCACTAGTGCTCCTGAAACATAGAACCAGAAGATAGTTAGAAAATGAAATTAAATAAATGCCCTTGATACGAAATCTCAAAGGAAAAAGCTGAGAATTGAATTTATTCGAACGGAACTTTATGATAAAAGGAGTCGAGAACGCCAAAATCATCCAAACCTCAAAATTCTCTGTCTTTGTACTCCAACAATCCTGACTTTCAAACATAAAATGAAATGCAATACCATGAAAAGTTCTACCAACAAACATCATTATTAGGACTGAAAAACAAAAAACAAAAAACAAACCAAAAATGCCTGATTCGTCAATATCCTTCCTTGTCTCAGAGACAGCTTTAGCCAATGCAGATGTAGGTAAAGAGAAGTGTATTGTGAAACCCTGAAATAAAATTATTCAAAGAGAAAAAAAAAAATCTGGTATAATCAGAAAAATTCAACTCAAGGATAATCTCAATAACTTCAAAAATTGATCACTAGTACTAAAATGATTTAAATTGATCTTGCTCATTAATATGGCCTTCCAGACATAAAAAGCAGCTATCCAACTTCATTTAAGTTCAACCTCATTTCAAAACTTTTCTTTTAAGTAGATTTTTTAAAACAAAATCAATACAAACAATGAACAATCTATAAACAGCAAACAATATGACATTTAGAATGTGAAAAAAGTTTCATAAACGTTTAAAATTAATCTTTTTCATAGTAAACATTTAAACTTGTGGACTATCAAGTTCAAGTGTTTATTAGGAAAACAATCAAATTAGAAAATGGAATGAAAAGATCTGAGACTTACCTTAACATTATTTTTCTCTGATAAAATAGCGTAATAGACAGAATGAAGAGAACTCCAAATTTTTTTCTGCTCCTCAGGCGCATGACACCAATTGAACTCTCTTCCATCATTACTGGCGAATATTTCTTCTACCAAACAAAAAACATCATTCTTTTACGTATTTCGTAATTATCAGAAGTCGGCCAATCAAGTCCACCCTTTTTCTAGACTTTTTTCTGCTTCTTTTTTTTAAATGTATTCTTCTGTAAGTGTAATTTTCCTACTTAAAAGTTTATGCATCATTGCTGAATGTTCTACTTTAGTAGTATAAATAAATGTCAACTATACCAATCATAAACTGTGAGCTAGTTCTGATCATATGAAAGAAGAGACGCATAGCTGTGGAAAAATGAAACATCGGTTCAAGGAATTACCAACGAGGCTTGCCTGTTCGGCTACTTCCGCTTCGGAATTACCGTGAAATTCCAAGAAAAGAGTGGGTGATTCAACAAGTGTTAGTTTACTGTAGCGATTACAAGCCGCCACTGTAGCAGCATCCAAGAATTCTGCAAGATTTTGTAGAATTGTAGTAAAATCGAAAAGACAAAAGTAGTGGAAAGTTTTTGAAAGATCAAAGCTATCACTGGTGATAATATTGTTTTAGTTTCTTCTATGAAAGCGAGTTCTTGCCTGAATCCGAAGTAACTCCACAGTATCACTCTTCTTCAAGGACAAAAATTTGGACCATCTAGTGTACAAATAGTGGTTATAAAATATTAATACGACGAAATACGTAAATTATTAAGATACCTATCTTTGCAATTGGTACAGAACACTGCAAAGTAGCAACGACCGCTTCAATAGCTTTGTCTACTGTTCGAAATGGGCAAACTGCGACACTACATACTGCTGGCCTTGCATACAATCGTACTGCAGTCTGCGTTATTACTCCCAGTGTACCTTTAGAACCCACGAAAAGTTTCGTCAAGTTATAACCTGCTGCTGATTTCCTGATGATTATTTCTTGTAAGTCTTTTTTTAAATCGGATCATTAATACTAAGAAGTAATAGGAGGATAACGGTCTACGACTTCTTAGTAAAGCAATACAGTTAAACTAACACATCCTTTCTTCAAAACAAATAAACTTACCTTGGTCGCCTATCTTTTCCAGCAGTGTACATTACGTTGCCATTAGATAGAACGACCTATAATAACACTGAGTGATTATACTATTTAAAAAAAAAAAATCTCATTCAGTTGATAAATTATAAAATTAACCGAAAAAAGGAAAGACACCTCTAAGTTCAAAACATTTTGAGCCATAGTACCATATCGTGCTGAATTTGAACCACTTGCGTTCGTAGCAGCCATACCACATATGGACGCATCAGCACCCAAATCTGCAAGTCTAACGCTCATTTCAAACCATGTTCAAAAAAAGTTAACATTAACTTCCTTTTAAAACCAGTAGCTTGGTAGTTTAGTATAAACATACCTCCAGGAAACCAAAGGCCTGTAGTGTGTAAATGTTGGTTCAGTGTCTCATGGGTTACGCCCGGTTCAACAGTACAATTGAAATCACCCATGTTTACTTCCACGATCTTATCCATCGACATCAAATCGATGAATACACCACCCTGAAAAACTATCCTATAACTTTCAGTCTAAAAGGAGAAACATTTAAACAACTCTTAGGTTCACAGTTAATCTGAAACAATAATTTTTACTAAATAAAATAAATATTGCAAGAAAATACTCGTGAAATAATAAACCTGGAGCGTGTTCGAAAAACCATCTAAACCAGTAGTTGTACTAAACGGTATCACTGGAATACTATCCTCATTACACATCTTCAATACAGAACTAACTTGTCCAACATCTTTAGGCACTACAATCACATCCGGAGCTCTCCCTCTAAAATCTATTTAAGTATATGCTATTATCACACTTAAGAAAATAAAACAAAACACTTTATGAAAATGAATTCTATAGTATTATAAATCGTGTAAAAAAATAAAAAGGAACGTTCCATGTTAAAAAACCGAACTCACAGTAAACTACAGTTTACCATAAACAACAATGAAATGTACAAAACATTTGAATGGAAGCTTAAGTTCAAACCTCAAATAAATATATCCTGAAGTTGTGAGATGTAAAGGAACGGAAAAGGAAAAGCAATAAATTACAATTTTTTGAAAACATACATGCGACGTCTCCGATCATATGAATTTTCGCTCGGTTCTCCAGTAGCTATTTTAACAGCTTCCTTACCCAAAACACGTTCCAATTGTGCAATGAAGGGTTGACTCACCTGGGATAACAATTTCAGAATATTTTAATTATAAGCACTCAAAGTGAAGTATCGAACTTTAAACTACAGCTCACTTAGGTATTAAAACTGAAGAGGTATTAAAACTTTATTTTCGAATTTCTATACCTAAATTTTGGCAATGGAGAAATAAACTGCAACGAACAATAAAAAATGTCTTCAAATCTAAGCTGGTTTACCTCTCAATTCGTTTCTTATTTCTAATTTTGTTAGAACGAAAAAAAAAAAAACAAAGTCACCTTGAATAATGGAAAAATATTTTTTATCAAAAAATATTTTTTTGATAAAAAATATTTTTCCCAGAAAGATGATAAAAAAAATGATTTTTGCAATAAAATATTCAGAATGAAAAATTACCATGCTGAATAAACGGCGACTAAGTAGCATGTTTGCAGTATTATAAACTGAGATTCTAGTCAATCCGATTTAAGGAACTATTCCTGATATGCTAAGTCATGCATTATTTAAGTGCGCACGTTGCAATCAGCGTTATCAAGACCTGCATCAGACTTATTACAAAACTCATAGATGCAACAAAAGGTCCCAAAAGTGAGCTTATTCCATTTGCAAGATTGTAGCAACTAAACACACATTAAACAACTATATTGTTTATACTATATTTATCCATTAAGTCTCAAATTTAGACATCTCAAATCATTCTAAGAAAACTAGCGGTCAGAAAAAAGTTGTACTTCAAATTTTTATAATTCTTCCAATCTTCAAATATCAAAATATTAAATATATCATTAAAAGTGAAATGAATATTTGAAATCAAATATTTCAAAGAAGAAAAAAGAATTTTTCTTTTGGCAGCAATCAACTTAAGACATTTCTCTTTAACATGATTTAAACAGTTCCTTTCTTCAGCAATATTGTAATAAAAGTAAACGAAGGAAATTGTTCCTTCAATAAAATAAAATAATATTATTTCATCTGGCATAGAATTTGGGGATTTTGTGTAATCATTTATTATACATCTCAAAATCGAACATAAGTTATAGAAAAATATTCAAATATACAGTAAAACAGGATGAGGTTAAACCGAAAGATTACCACATGGATCACTTTACAGTTACCTTTTTTCTTGTAAACTAAAGTGCAATTAAACAGAATTGAGATGCCGTTACTTGGAAGGACATTATAGCATCAGTAGCTGCTACTATAAAATCCTTTTAGATACCATTAATTTAGCCCTACAACAAGAAACCATGCGTTCAGAATTTCAATAAATGACTGGGAAGAAGGCGCAGATGTTAAAAATAAAATAGAAAGAAAAAAATTACCTAATTTGTTAATAAATTAGGTAGTTTTCTTTTGAAGCAGTTCTTTTCTCTAATTATCAACCTTTATTTCAATGTTCAGTTTTTTCAGAAAAATTAGTTTCCAATAGTGTCTCTAAGATGTACAGATGAAACAACAGCGTGTTTGAAATTCAAAACAAAGGACTAAAAATAATCAATTTCTTCCCTAAAGAAAAGATAATAACAACAAACAGGGGTCACCAAATAACAGGAGTTAGAATCCGCAGTATTCCTTCATCTAACAATAGTTTTGCTTCTACTCTTTTATAGTCTACTTTTACCGGAAAATAAATATCCAAGATTGTTTGTTTCCGATCAAGTATGATTAACAAATGATCGTCATTCATCCGAACATTCAACCTAGAAAGCACTATACATAAATTGAAATTGCTGGAATTTCACATTCTATATTATACTGGAATTCGTACTTAAACTCCTGATTTAAATATTACTTATTTTGATCTTATAATTTTTGCAGAGCATTCTCTTATTGTAATAATAAAATTTACAACAACCTGTCAGTATTTTTTATCGATGGTACCACACTAGCAAGCTTCAAGTTCACCTCCAGTTGTCTGCCGTCTCGAAGAATAAGTAGGCAATTCTTTGGAAGACAATATTGCTGCAACTGATTCACAAATCAAATTCTACAAAATATACACCATAAAGATTAAGTTTAGAACTTTTCATTCAACAATCATGTCTTTTTTTTTCATGTTTTTACACAATATTTATTAATCATTGATGAAAACCGTGAAGTCCTTTACGCCTATGTATATATACAATATACACACAGGCGTTGAGTACCCGGAAATATGAAAACTAATGAAGAGCAATAGAAAAGTTTGGTACCTCATGGATCGGTCCTTCTGATTGCTTTACTGATTCTACTTCTCTTATAAATGCTTCTCGCGGTTTTTTTCGTATTCTCTGAGCACTCAAATCACCCACACACTTTCGATTTTTTAATTTAATCGCTCCCTGAATATAAAGAGTCTAACGAACTAGGAAAGACACTGCACCAATGAGACAAGCGATCAAAAATGAAAGATTGAGAAACTTCTCAATAAATTTGTGATGCAACCTCGGTAGCAAATTTGGGATGCTGATATAATATTAATATTTAGCAAGAGGAATAATGCGTCAATATGGATAAAACTTAAAAAATAATTTCTGAAAAACACACCTTTACATCGATCGTAATATCATGCTTCTTCTCAACTGCTTCTGAAATAACCAGTAGCAATAACTGTCGAAAAAATTCACTTTTTTCGAGCTGCACCAAATAAAAAGTAGAGTTAACGATCACATCTATCTAAAACATGGACAACGTTGAAAATGAAATCATAAATCAAGAATGACAGAATCTTTATTATCCTTAATCATATGAACGAATAAAAGAAAGAGATCAACTGTAAATGAAAGAAATAAGCCATGAAACCCACTTATAATGAAACAAGTCACAAGTACGGTCCTAAGATATACCTATGATACCTGCTTCCAACTATCAAATGAGCATCACCTTTACAGAATCTTCTCCTTTTCTGTCTAAAACCACTTCAACATCACCAACACATAATGGTATGCGATACTTTGACGGATCACTTGAATCCAACAATTTTGCAACTTCGTCCTGCAATTTTTCTTAGAAAAAAAGAATTAAAAAATTCGCTTCATCAACGAAAAAAAAGTTCAATGGGAATCGCTATTGATATCCGCTCTGTCTATAGCTGATTCAGAAAATTTTATTTTCCTACAGTTTTCAGCCACTTATCAAAAAGAAAATCAAGTCGATACAAAATCTGACTGTATCTACAAGTCTTAGTCTTTTGTATAACGAATTATCAAATGCCATTTGTATCACACATTACAGACTTACAATTCATCTGGTAGCAAAAAAAAAAAAAAAAAAAAAACACCTCACTGAGATCTTCTGGAGGAGGTAACTGCATGCAATGACAGATATTTAAAAAAAGTTTGCATTTCTCTTTCATAAACAGCGTGCGACAATTGGAATTTACCTTCAAAAAAAAAAAAAAAAAAGACGATAAATGCTTTCTGGAGTTATAATGCTTTTAATGTAATAAGCTTCATTTAGCATTAAAAGTGATGCTAAAATAAATTTCAGATGTAATCACAGAATATATATATACGTTATAACTAAATTTTAGGCATATGACTTTGTACACACTAACAACCCAATACACTTTAGTAGTACATCTCAACCAACATAAACCAAACAAGTAAAATAAAACCGTACTTCCTTAAATTTAACGACATAACCAGGTATGGGATGCACAATCCACACATCATCCTCACTGATATTTGCAATAGTATCACTCAGTTCACTTCCAACAATCATCACTTTCTCTCTACGCACTTTCTGGAGTCGAAAATTTGCTCAATGAATCTGCAATAACAGAAAAAAAAAATGATGAAACTTTGGAATATCAGACACTACGGTGGTTCTCATCAGCAGACACCGAAGCAAAGCTTCAACACATAATCTGCGTTCCCAAGCTTTACCCAATATAAGCAGTCATAGATTAATCGATGCAACAGACTGACACACATATTCGAAACTCTTAAACTTAAATAATCGCTGTAGTTTAAATCTGTAAATCAGGGAACTCTAGAACTTGTCGCGCTGGCAACAACGATATAGCAAACCATCTTCATCACACTTCGTAAATCAAACAATCTAACCCTCAACTACAATTTGCTAAAACAACTTATGAATGCTTAGTTATGCAGCAAAAAAGAGGAAATAAAAATGTACTTTGACTTCTTCAAATATGAATGAATATAGCACAATACTTTTAAATGCGAAGCATAAAAATGAGCAATCTTTAATTTACAATATAAAAAAATTTAAAGTTGTACAATAGCAATTTTGTCATTAATAAAATAAAAACAGGCTAATTACATCTTAAAATATAAAACAACCGGTAAGTTTCTCTTTCATTTGTTATATAAACTGACGTATATTACTGTACAGCAATGAAAGGTATCCAATGACCAAACAAAATAAAAAGTGCTCTTGCATATACTAATGAAAGACATCTCTCCCTGTTATTCATTTATTTTTCTCTAGAATGGAAGTAAGACCGGACTCTAAGATCAATAAGTAGAACTAAAACAATATAATAAATGTCGGAAGAATGCAGCTAATTTGTAACTTCAACTAATGACCGAGCTGTTAGACTAATAAAGACAACAGAAGATATGACTTAAAAGATAGCAAGAAGAGCAAAAACACAATACAACAAGGCACACGGATATGCAACAAGCAATCGCTGTCCATCCAAAGACAATGTCGTTATAAACAGTTTAGATGAAGCAACACTGCACCATATTACAGCTGCGCTTGCTATCAAGTAGCCTAGCATACCCTACAAACAAGAAATGGATTACAGATAATATTAAATGTAGTCACTAGAGCTTTGCCAACTTTTTATTTCTTTTAAATCATGCATTTATGTGATATCAAAATTAATTGATACCTGAAAAGAGAAAATTGCAGCTATCATGCTTAAAATAGCCATCGGCAGTAAACAATATCCAAGGACGCTAGCCGTACAGGTGAAGGAAATCGAAGTATCAGCAGCCATTAAATTCAATAAAGCGTATACACCAACACATCCCAGAGCACCGATTCCATAAATATATCCAAATTGAATCTAGAACGGCTAAATCAAGTAAAGCGCTCAAATCTCTTATCTTTACTGACTAAAGAGTTTACTTCTTTTTAGTGATGGTTCTACTGTTGCGCTCGACTCAGCTGTGAATAAAATTAACGGGATATATATAACGAAGATAGAGCAAAATATAGTAATCTTAATATTTCAAACTATCCTTTTCGCTCCAGGAAGGTCAACTCTGACGAAGTACATGGATACGTTTTATGAAGCTTAACTGAACTTGTTATATTTAAGTTATCAGCATAAATTTTTTTTTTTGAAATTAGTTACCTTTCCATGAAGCAACAAAGCAGCACCAAATAAAAGACAAAATACTAGCGGACCTGCCAAGTCTTGATCAGCAATTACCTGAAAAATGCAACATCTCGTCTTTATAGTTTAAATGAAATGAGATGTAAAATTACACACTTAACACCATACTCTCAGCAAAGCTAGGTATACCGTTTTAGTGCGTTTCCTTACTGCAAAATCATTATAAGAGATATCTAAAATATATTGTCTGAGATTGCTGACAATTGCTGACAGTTTAGCAGAGTACAGCTTACATCAGGTGCCACAGAGCCAACAGGATTCAACACAGCAAATGTTTTCTGTCTGATATGGCTAAAATTGATGCCAAGCTCTTCTAATAGTGGTGGTTCGATCTCGAAATTATCAGCGGGCGGAGCTGAAGCAAAAAGCAAACGAGAAAATTATTTATAAAACAAAAAAGGGCCAGTTTTGATTGATAAAATGATAGAATTCAACATAACAGTAATCGTTTTCAGCTCGTTACAAACCAAAATGATGAAAAAGGAAATACCTTGTAACTGAGAAGGGATGAAGTACTGACCGCTATATAAATTGGTATTCTGTGTCTGCTGCTGCTGATAATGATCATAATAGACTGAACCTGTATAAGAATTTAATTTTTTCCGAAACAATACATTATGCAAAGATGGAAATTCTGGAATCGATCTAAATGGAGTGAGCTGTATTTCTTCTCTTCCTAGCTTAACTAATCAAACCCACCATGTGTTTGCTATATCTACAGCTATACAATAATGAAATAATCTTAAATTAAAAAAATAAACACAATAAAGTACAAATGCACTGTTATGATAGTTTTACATCTTAAATTCTTATACATTCTTCTGTAACTGAAACTGTCTAATATATAAATAAACTCGCTTATCCAATCTAAGTGGCTTTGCTCATTTATCATAATGCCATTAAGCACACAGTAAAGAAAATGCAAAGAAGTCATTTCTTGTCTTCAGTCGTCATAATTACTTCTTTCAAAAGTGGTTGTAAAAATGCTGCAGTATTTAACATATATATACATATATTTCGGGCTCTTGTTGCCCTGTGCAAGTAGTATTTTTAATGCTTTCATTTTTGTTATAAAATCATTGCAGACACAAAGCTTTAGCGCAAGTTGATTATATTTTCCTCTTTCTGTCTATTCAATCGTCCTTGAAATAATGGTGGAATAATTTAGTTGTTATCATCTGAAGAAAAAGAAACATTGTTGGTACTGAATTGCGATACACTCATAAATGATATAAAAATCTTACCTTGTGGGACCGATGACTGTTGCTGGCTATTATCATACTGTCCCCAACTGGCACCTCCTTCACTACTGTACCAGTTATTCTGTTGATTATTAGTATTGATCCAGTAATGAGACATCACTTCTCCAACTTGCAAAAATTCAATTTTCAGTTTTTGTGAATGCTTGATCAATACTTCTAATAGAGTAAGGTGACATACATGCCTTACATATAAAATGTCATTTTGAAAAGTAAGCAGGAAGAACTGATACAAATACGCTAACTTAATTCAACTCCGTCCGTGTGCTACGTCATGAAATCAGACATGCGACAAGCATTATACATTATACACACTCACACAATATTAGAAAAGAACAAGTCACGATAAGGAATTGAAATTGTTGGTTCTCTTTAGAACTAACTACTTTCACGATTTGTTGCATACAACGATACATGCAATACACGTTTTTTTGACGGAAGCATGAGAATATGGTACCGTGCGTAAGGAGACGTGGAGGCACACGTTTTAGAGGCTTCAGTAGTCATGAGAGTGGTAACAAAGTACGTGAAGTAAGGAATAAGGAGAGCGGGAAGGAGCGATGTTGTAGGTAAGTGGAGGTACATATTTTGGCACTACAAAATACGCATGATCAGATTTTGTATTAGATAGTATCTCCTCTTTTATGCTCTGGAAATTGACAACATCGTCACGTACGTGAATATCCTTATCTATAATGCTATAGCGTATAGAGGGAAACGTCTTTAGTAACTTGCAATAAAATTTTATGTATCCAGTCTACGTTGTCAGTTCTTTGGAGTAATTAATGCTCTATTTCGTCATTTGATAACTTAATTTTTACAAGCTGTACGATTTTAAGCATTTCTTCCTCAGTGATTGTTACTTTTCTCTTGTTTACAAATTTTATTAGCGAAGTGATGACATTTCTGCTGCCTAGCTGACATCTTTACCTCTTTACCTCCTTCGTTGAAATGAGTCAAAGTATTTGCAAACAATTTCTATTTTATCAGTTTTTTCAAGTTTGTGAAATGTGGTATCTGTAATTACTAATTTATCTAGAGGAGAGGAAGAAATTATTTTACTTTCATTCCCTGAAAGCACGTTATGTGTTATGCATGAAATTACAGACGTTGCTCTACCATTTTTAAAAGTGAGAGCTGCATTTCAACCACAAACTTATCACCGATAATATCCTTGCAGAGAACATCAATCTGCTTTGTTTCTCACAAGCAAATTCGAGGTTCATAATGATGCTGATGAAAGCGCATCGTGTTTTTATAAGTTGGAGAAAGGAAAGGGTAGTAAGTAAGCTAATCTTACGTTATGACGGAGTATAGAAGATTAGAGGGTTCAGTACACGTAGCACACGGAACCGTATGCAGTGCATGTCGTTATACAGTACATGTATATATTTACTACCACATGTTTATCTTCTGTTAGAAAAACGAATTTATGGAACAATTTTAACCTAATAAAATATACATTGTAAAGAGAAGAGCTAATATTTTCAGGACGTACGGTTGCGTTTAAGTTAAACGTAACTCATTAGGATAATATTCTTTGCGCTCATATTCAATTCATATTCTTTTTTACATTTCTGCTTATCCTTGCTTTTTGAGGACAATGAGCAAACATCAACGTCGAAAAGGAAATGCTCAGGTAAAGTCACTGTTTCAGTTACAATTATCATGATTAAAGGTTACAGTAGAAAGGGAAAAAAGGTATTAAGCAGTTTCAGCTGTACTGTATAGCAAATAATTGGCTTACTGGAATTATTTGAAAATTCATGAATTTTTACAGGCAGCAAGCAGTGCCCATGCTGCAGAATTACTGACCAATTCTGGACATCCACTACAGATTGTAACATTTGGTGATTGTGAGCCATTTACGACAACTTCGTTAGAGAATCGTGATGCAGACGAGAATTTCTTTGATGCTGAAATTCAGATCGCTTTGAGAAAAACCACGAAAAGAGATTTACATACTCGGGAAAAAGTACATGCCATTTTTGGACTTAAATATGTACTTTTGACTGTACAATTTTTTTCAAAACATTGTAAATTTGAAGTCTTTATGACAATTTTTAATTCAGATTGAATGTGGTTTTTAAGATATGAATATAACCGTAAGTAGATTTGGCATCATTTTTACTATAATATTACTTACGTTTATTACTCCATCAATAATGCAATCATTTTTTTCAGGGACTGAAAGAATTGAGACGACTGATTGATGAAGTAGCATTCGATGATGTCCGGAAAAGTTTCAAACATTTTGCTGTCTTATTTCCTAGACTAGCTTTTGATACAACGGTAACAGTTAGATCTAATGTAATCCGTGTCTTGGGGGATTATATCAAAAAACTGAAAAAAAACTGTGAACCATATCTAGAAAAGGTTAGAATTTTTCGTAGTGATGTTGTGATAATAATGTTATATTCCAATATTCGATCATATAATGCTTCAAATCAGAACTTTGCAAATTATCATATCACTAATCTAGAATTTCCGAAAATAATAAAAGTAATATTCATCTATTTTTATTATTTATAATGAGTAACAAAATTAGTTTAGAAGATTAAATAAAATCTCTTCATAATATGTAATCGTTTGATCGAAAATTAAAGATAATGAAAATAATTATACTAATATGACAAAAGACAAACTAAAAAGTAAAGAAAATAACATTTAAAAAAATCATCAAAATATCAATATAATGAAACCACGAAACAAAGAAAAGAAAACAAACGAAAAATTCCGCCAAAGAATAATTAAATCTCCAAAAAAAAAAAAAAAAAAAAAAACTAGAGAAAAAATAACAGTCTATAAATTAATTGTCAACAAACTCAAATTCAGTGATTTTAGCTTTTTAATTGACCTAAATCTGAATAAAAATGAAGAACTTTCACAGCTTTTGTAGAGATATCGACTTAGCATTCCAAAAGCTTTCACGGAAAAATTTCTTATTGAAACAAAAATGCAAATTTGCAGGTTGTATCTTATGTAATATTAATGATGCACGATAGTTATTCCCAAGTAGCCAACGAATCAAGAAGCATGCTAGTGGACTGTTTTCCTAATGAGAAATATGGTATTCTTATAGAAATGTTCAAGGAACCAGCGTGTGTAATTGCTCTTAAGTTTATCAGTGGCAAACATTCGTTGTTACTTAGGTGCCATTTGTTATTATACTGATTTCCTGTTCTGTTTTTTTCTATTTAATTAAGAATAATCTGAGCAAAGGACGATAAAGTCAAAAATGAAATTGTTTTGGTGTATTTTGTTTAAGAAAAAAAGTTCGAAAAATTGTCCTCAGAGTTTTCTATTTTTTGTAATTAGACTTCTCAAGATTTACTTATTGAAGATGTGAGGAAGAGGAGACTGAAGAACAGCGTTACGTGAGGCTTGCTTCACAAAGCTTGCAATATCTTCATTGGTTTTGTACGCAGTCTCTTAGCGATGAACAGCGTAATCGAATAATTGATTTTTTCAATAACCGATCATATAGACGACTGTTAACATCATCTTCTCAGGTGATTTCATATTTAAAATAACTTAGCATTATTTTGTTTTTCTTTGTATGTCATTCTATCGCCAACTTATGTTTTACCGAAATTACTTTGGATACAGTTACTTATAATTCATTCTTATTTTACTTATCTTAATTTCGCTCCTATTCCTGTCCATTTTCTATTATTATTATTATTAAATATATATATTCGGTATATGATTATTCGAATCTTCTTTAAGAAAGAAAGCTGAGGATTATGATAGTTTCTTAAGAGTATCCTCGTCCATCTTGGAGCTACTTTATTCTGCCTTTACATTAATGAATGCTTCAGATTGTTAGTGCTACAATGATCTTAGCAAGTCGCGTAGCGTCATTACTTAACGGATGGGAGGTAATATTAAATAGTGCCTTGCCGACTACGGCACTAGCTCACCTGGACAGTATCGACAGGAATGTCGGTCGCGCATCTGCTCTTCTCATTCTTGAAATGACCAAGGCGGACGTGCTCTTTACTGTATTAGATATTGATAACGTAGTGGTAAATCGTGTCATATCATTGATAAGGCGCAAAAAAAAGTAAGCGTTCAGTTTATTATAAAATTTAAATTATTAGCAAAAGATCGACACTGTAATTTGTGACCAGCTATCATAATTTCATTGAGAGCACACTTTATCATGTTACCATACAAGCTTTTATTAATATGCCTAATTTACAAAATGCCATTTTATAAAGGGAAATTTGTGACTCATTTTTTGTAGAGCTTAAAACAGAAATATAGATGATGTTGTTTCTAATGTCAAAACATTGATAGAGATAAGTTGGCAAACATATAAAATGTAAATAAATGCAGTATGGGGAAAGTAGATAAATAGATGTTATTGTTGTAGCTTTTGGAACCATATTTCAACGATTTTTATACCTGTAATAAAAGCTGTGCTTGATAAGAAGGTGGCGATTGAAGGTCAAGAGCTGCTGAAGAGAATACTAAGTGCTTTTTTCGATGGGTAATTGTTTTTTAACCTATTCAACTGCGATTTGATTATTGTAAATTCTATTCAACTGCGATAAATTAGTTTAGTGCTAGTTCATGATGCATGTTTTTTTTGTGATTGGGTATTGGAGGGAAAATATGTTAAGCGGGGTTAGAATTCAGCTATGTTAAAACTGTTAATGTATGATCTTGTGAAGCAAAGTATTTAATGATTCGTGCTTTTAGGATGCCTTGGAAATTATCGTTTCCATGTGTTGCTTGGGTAAATACTTTTGCAGAATTCACTGAATTTGGGATTTGGTGGACTATGAATCGGTGTGTTAATGATTTGGATATTATTGTGGATGAATTTATTGAAAAGGTTTTTTTTTTTGTTGTTCAGTTTGCTTCATTTTATTGTAATGGTTGTTATATACTATAAAAGTTTAGGTGTGGATTGCGATGAAGTGCACTTTGAACTGGAATGACAAGTCATTAGTCAAGAAAATGGTGCATTTGCCAGGACGTATTATCAGTAAATGGTTCCGAAATTCGCAGATTGCAGATCGACTACGTAATCAAATTCAGGATCATCTTTTGAATGAGGTATTCTTTTGTATTGAAACATGTATATTTTGT